TAGATAGATAAAAAGTTAGATAGATAAGTGGATGGATAGATAGATAAGTAGGCAGACAGACAGATAGATGGATAGACAGATGGATGGATAGACAGATAAGTAGATAAATAGATAGATCAGTAGATACCTAGACAAGAGAGATAGATGGATGGATGGATAGAAAGATAGACAGATTCCTAGAGTTGGAAGGGACCCCATGGGCCATCCAGTCCAACCTCAATCTGCCATGCGGTGAAGCACAACCAAAGCCCTCCCGACAGATGGCTACCCAGCCTCTGTTTCAAAGCTTCCAAGGAAGCATCCTTCACTGGACTCTGAGGCAGAGAGTCCCACCGCTGAACAGCTCTTCCTACGGTTAGGGAAGCCTTCCCCAATATCCAGGTGGGATCTCTTTGTCCGACTTGTTTTTCCAGAGCGGAATAGAAAGCCATGCCAAAAGCCGGGGCGTGAAGGCGCCCCTTGCCTTTCCCCCAAGGAAGGCCGACTCACCTCCGATGGGTAGACCTTCATGCTGGATTTATCATAGACGTCGACGGTGACGCTGTAGGTCCGCCCCACTTCCAGGACCCACCTGTTTCCCGGATGGACGTTGAAACCTACCACCGGTTGCAGAAAGTAAGCCGGGGAAGAATAAACGTCCCTCTCTCTGCGCTCAAGAAAGTGGGAGCTTCCTTTCGGCACCAGGGGGGTTTCTTTTATTTTAATTTTACCCCCTTCTGCCATGCACAATCAAAGCACCCCCAACAGATGACCATCCAGCCTTTGTAATAATAATAATAAAAGGCACAACCCCAAGGGCCATCCAGTCCGACCCCTTCTGTCATGCAGTAAAGGCACAATCAAAGCACCCCCAACAAATGGTCACTCAGCCTTTGTAATAATAATAATAATAATAATAACGACAACAACAACAACAATTTTAAAAAATCATGGGCCACCCAGTCTGACCCCTTCTGCTATGCAGGATAAGCTCAATCAAAACACCCCCGACAGATGGTCACTCAGCCTTTGTAATAATAATAATAATACCCAGGGGCCACCCAGTCTGACCCCATCTGCCATGCAGTAAAGGCACAATCGAAGCAACCCCAACAGATGACCATCCAGCCTTTGTAATAGTAATAATAGGCACTACCCCAAGGGCCATCGAGTTCAACTCTTTTCTGCCATGCAGTAAGGCACAATCAAAGCACCCCCAACAGATGACCATCCAGCCTTTGTAATAGTAATAATAGGCACTACCCCAAGGGCCATCCAGTCCAACCCCCTTCTGTCAAGCAGTAAAGGCACAATCAAAGCAGCCCCAACAGATGGTCACTCAACCTTTGTAATAATAATAATAATAATAAACCCTAGAGGCCACCCAGTCAATCAAAGCACCCCCAACAGATGGCCATCCAACCTTTGTAATAATAATAACAGACACAACTCCAAGGGCCATCGAGTCCAACCCCCTTTTGCCATGCAGTAAAGGCACAATCAAAGCACCCCCAACAGATGGTCACTCAGCCTTTGTAATAATGATGATGATGATGATAATAATAATAATAATAATAATAAACCCCAGAGGCCACCCAGTCAATCAAAGCACCCCCAAAAGATGGCCATACATCCAGGGCTCTGCAGAGCACACTTTAAGAACCACTGACTTTAATTATGACATAGTTCAAAGAAGCCCTGAGCAAGGAAGGAAGCAAGGGACAGTTTACTGACCTAAATACCCAGGTTCTACAACATAGATGCTGCAGTTGGGGAGTCCGGAGGAGGCTCGCATGTGGATATCTGATCTCTGTCCTAAGGAACGGAGTCTCGACGGAAATGGAGAAAGGAGCTGGGACGGGTCTGTGTCTCAGGCCCTTTAAAGACTCCCCCAGCACAACAAGGACAGGTTTGGGGTCCGGCAGAAACCAGCCTGAGCGCCAAAGGATACTCTTATGGATGAAGATGAGGTTGACCTGCCCCAGGTGCAGGGCGGTGACCGTTGCGGTCTGGGCATCCAGGGCGGCCACTGGAAGGTCGTCTTCCGCCCCCTCTTCATCCCGCAGCTCCAGCTCGTAATGTTCCAGAGGGAGGTCCACCTCTGCAGGAAGGACAACCGTCACAACTCTATTTGGGTTGGAACCAATGTCTTTTGAAACGGGAGCACATTGTACGCAGCAAAGAAAAAGGGGCCCCAAGAGGAAGCAAATACCTGTCATCTTTCCCTGGACGATTTTGCCCACTTTGTACTTGATGTAGGCGCCCACCAGCAGGTAGACGTCGTGAGACGGCATCAGGAAGATGTTCTCCAAAACCAAGAGGCGCACAAAGGCAGCGGCTACTTTCTGGGGAATCAGAAACAAAAGAGAGAGAGAGAGATGGAGAGATAATTTTACGAAGAGAGCAAAGCCCAAAACCATGTCACCTTTCCTTTAATGTGCGTGCAGTTTATTCAAGTACTGGCTTAGGTACCCAGCAATGCTTTACTCAATACCAACATTGTGTGGACTAATGAGGGGCGAGAAAGGCGGTATATAAATACTGTAAATAAATAAGTAAATCGCTAATATTGGGAGGAAACCATGCCAAGGACTTCTTGGCTAATAATAAGACTTGACCTTTGTATACTCTTCTGAGAAGCTCTATGTTGACAGAATGTAAATCTCCTATCTAACTGCTCATTCGCCTCTCCACCTGGACTTCCATTTTATTTATTTACTAGCTGTACCCACCATGCTTTGCTGTGGCTAACCTTCCCTTCCTCCCTCTTTCTCTCTTTCTTTCTCTTTCTTTCTTTCCTTCCTTCCTTCCCTCCCTCCCTCCTTCCTTCCTTCCCTCTTTTTCTTTCCCTTCTGCTTTCTTCCTTCTCTACTTGTTTCTTTTCTCGTTTCCTTTGCTCTTTGGTGCCATCCTTCCTTGTCTCCTTCCTTCCTTCTCTCTTTCATTCCTTCTCTCCTTCCTTTCTTCTCTACCTTTCTTTCTTACCTTCTCTCTTTCCCTCCTTCTTTCTCTTTCTGAGGCTCCCACAGACAGTGCAAAGTCAACAGCGGTTCTCAGAAGGAATGCCAACGAATTAGATAGCAGGTGGAGAGGCCTTTGCCTTCCCACGCTGATAGTGAAAGTTCAGAAAGCCTTGATAATGACCTTACCTGCCAAGCACGGCTTGATTTGCGGGTCAGGAGGAGTTCACGCCTGGCTAGCAGACGAGAAGCCAGCTCGGGGAAAGGTCATCACAATGCTTTCATGTTGGTGAGAGTGTGATGTTTTCATGTCATGTTCTTGTGAACGAAGGGAAAGTGTCAGTTCAACGTAGCTTTTTAGCCTGAAAGCTTCATGGAATATCTTTGGTTTGGAAGCAGCACGCTTTGGGTTCTTGGGGCTAGTGTTTCACTGTTTGTACCATGGACTCTGTTTTGACCTCTGCTTAAAGGATTGTGCCTTTTGTTTTTACCTGAAGATTCTTGGAACTGTATTCTGCATTTAACCTAACTCTTTGGAACTTTGGCCAGATACTGGTCAAAGGACACTTAACCAACTACCAAGTTTGCAAAATATGTGTGTTTTTTCTTCTTTTTAATCTGTGTGTTTGTTTTGTTCTGTTAGAATTGTAATACAATGGTATGGTTGCTGATGACACGATAAATAAATATTTGGAACTTTGCTTTGCTTATGCTTTATTTTGACTTGGATTTTCCCTCAATAAACTATAATCCTACAGCTCTTGGGTGGTGGTGTTTGGGAGCAAGGCGAAGCTTACTCTGAGTTGCAACATCAGCCCAGAATCCCCAGAGAGATCAGGTGCAGGCACACTCAAAGGCTGAACTACGTTCAACACACCTTGTAAATGGGCTCCTGGATCCGGACCTTGACCACGGCGGCCCCCGTTTTGATCCCCGACACCAGGGTCCGGTCTCCTTGCTTCTCCTCCCTTTCCATCTCAACCACATAATCCGGCGGGGAATACTCTGCTTCGGAATATTTCAGGATCCTAAAGAGACCACGCTGGGTTTTGGCATGACAATGAAACAGGGTGTTCGTGCCCTCCGGTTGTGCCAGGCGGCAATTCCCATCATCTCCCCAAGGATGGGGGGACAAAGGGAGGGTGCAGGGCCCCTCAAGGTCCGCTCTGCAGCCACACTTCTCCCGATCCCTGGCCCTTCCTCTCACCTAATTTTGCTGGACAGCTCCCAGTTGTCCACTTCGTCCTCGTCCTTGGCGATGCTCCACTCAAACTCCATCCCTTCCAGGCTGCTGAACGTATTCCCTGAAGGGGGGAAAGTCCCCGTCATAGACTCATATAGCACCAAAGAGGCCCATCTAATGTAATGCAATGTAATACTAATACTACTAATATGATATTATAATTTATTTATATAACATGTAATATTACTAATAATATGACAATATAATGGTATAGTACAACATACTATTTAATACTGAAATTGTACTATGCTAATAATATAATATATTGTATATACATATAATATTTATAATATTATAATGCAATATAGTACTACTACTAATAATATGATATTATAATTATATGTTTATATTACATGTAATATTACTAATAATAATAATAGTACAATATAGTAATATTTAATACAGATGTTGTACTATGCTAATAATATAATATATTGTATATACATATAATATGTATAATATTATAATGCAACATAATACTACTATTAATATATTATAATTATATATTTATATTATATTACATGTAATATTACTAATAGTATTACAATATAATGGTATAATGCAATATTGTAATATATAATACAGATATTGTACTATGCTAATAATATAATATAGTGTATACACATATATTTATAATATTATAATGCAATATTATACTACTACTACTAATATGATATTATAATTTATTTATATTACATGTAATACTGATATTGTACTATGCTAATAATATAATATATTGTATATATATATAATATTTATAATATTAATATTATTTATAATATTATAATGCAATATAATAATAATAATAATAATAATAAGATGATATTATAATAATATTTTATATTGTTTATTTATTTATTTATTAATGACATTTCTACACCGCTTTTCTCACCCCTGGGGGGACTCAAAGCGGTTTACAACATAATAAATGGCAAATTCAATGCCTCACATATATATAAAAATATCACATTATCTAAATCAATAACATATAACTGCAGATAAAAACCGTCAAAACTATAAAAACATCATAGACATAAGCATGAAACATATTATTGCTGCAATTAACAATGTAGACCCTGTCTCTTCCTCCCACTATACCAATATAATGGTATAGTACAATACAATAATATTACTGATATTGTGCTATGCTTATAATATAATATAATATTTATAATATTATAGTGTAATACAATATAATAATAATATGATATAATTACATATTTTATATTACATGTAATATTACTAATAATATTACAATAGTATAGTAAATATAGTAATATATAACACTGATACTGTGCTATGCTTATAATATTTATATTATAGAGTAATAAAATATAATACTAATACTAATAATATATTATAATTATATATTTATATTACATGTAATATTACTAATAATATTACAATATATTAGTATAGTACAATATAGTAATATATAATACTGATATTGTGCTATGCTAATAATATAATATAATATTTATAATATTATAGAGTAATACAATATAATACGAACACTAATAATATGATATTATAATTATATATTTTATATTACATGTAATATTACTAATAATACTACAATGTTGTTGTTGTTCATTCGTTCAGTCGTCTCCGACTCTTCGTGACCTCATGGACCAGCCCACGCCAGAGCTCCCTGTCGGCCGTTACCACCCCCAGCTCCCTCAAGGTCAGAATACTACAATAGTATAGTAAATATAGTACAGGGTTAGTCAAAATGAATAGGCCAATAAGAAAATTAATTTTAGACGAATGTATGTTTACTGTAACCAAACTACAGCTACGTAGGGACAGATAAACTATCAAAGTTTTGTCTCACCTTCAGAGATGTTCGATATGGGCGCCCCGTGTGACACGGCAGATGTCCAAGCGATAGTCCAGTTCATTCCACATCCGTTGCAGCACATCCGACGTAATGGCATCGAATGCAGCAACGTCTGGGAAGGTGTTCGTTGAGGTCCTAACCCTAACCCTAACCCTATCCCTAACCCTAACCCTAAGCCTAAGCCTAAGCCTAAGCCTAAGCCTATCCCTAACCCTATCCCTAACCCTAACCCTATCCCTAACCCTAACCCTAACCCTAACCCTAACCCTATCCCTAACCCTAACCCTAACCCTAACCCTAACCCTTGAAATTCTCGCTGGACCGTAATTACTGACATTGTTTTAGCAAATGTCATCACACAAAACGCCTTCTCTTTGCTTGATTCCGCCATTTTGAAAACAGCGACCCCTAGCGACGCCTAGCGGCATTAACGTACATGTGTGTTGCTCAAAAAAAACTTTGATAGTTTATCTGTCGCTACGTAGCTGTGGTTTGGTTACAGTAAACATACATTCGTCTAAAATTAATTTTCTTATTGGCCTATTCATTTTGACTAACCCTGTAATATATAATACTGATATTGTGCTATGCTTATAATATAATATAATATTTATAATATTATAGTGTCATACAATATAATACTAATACTAATAATATATTATAATTATATATTCATATTACATGTAATATTACTAATAATATTACAATATAATGGTATAGTACAATACAGTAATGTTTAATACTGATATTGTACTATGCTAATAATATAATATATTGTATGTATATATATCTTGTAAGCTGCTCTGAGTCCTCTTTGGGTTGAGAAGGGTGGCGTATAAATGGCGCAAATAAATGAATAATTAATCTAAACTGTATAATAATAATAATAATAATAATAATAATAATAATAATAAACCTGCCATCTCCCGCAGGACTCAGTGTGGCTTACAAGAGGCTGACCCAACCTGTATGCCAGGTTGAGGTCCAGATCTGTTGTTGGTGGGAGTTACAGTGCTCTCTGGACATGAGGGCCATCTTGGAAAATACATACATACATAGAGACACAGACGCACACATACAAACATTTCCCCACTTTAGATACGATGGGGACGCTCCCCCTGGACAGAGTACCTTCCGCGTCCAGAGCTCTTACGCTCAGCTCAAGCGGGGAGTCCTCCACGTAAATCTCGCGGGTCCGGGAGATGATCTCCACGCGGTCAATGAGGTCCACAATGACGTCACAGCGCAGCAAGTGACCTGTCACTGGAGGGGGAGGAAGGGCCACCGCTGTTATCTCCCACCTGCACTTCGTATGGCCGTCCCAATGGCAGAGCCTAGTATCATAGCACAAGAGAGCTGGAAGATACCATGTTCATCTAGACTTACCCCATTCTCCTAACAAGAAATATAACAACAATAATAATAGTTGGAAGGTGACCTTAAAGGTCATCTAGCCTGACCCCACCATTTCCTTATATAATAATAATGATAATAATAATAATAATAATAATAATAATAATAATAATAATAATAATAATAGAGTTGGAAAGGGTACCCCTAAAGGTCATCTAGCCTGTCCCTGGTCTCCTGTAAATAATAATAATAATAATAACAATAAAGGACTTGGAAGGGAATCCTAAAGATCATCTCGACTGACCTCATTTTCCTACAGAGAAATATAATAACAACAATAAGAATAGTTGGAAGGTGACCCTAAAGGTCATCTAGCCTGACCCAATTTTCATATATATATATATACACACACACACACAATTATAATAGAGTTAGAAAAGGTACCCCTAAAGGTCATCTAGTCTGACCCTATTTTCCTATAAAGAACAACAACAATAATAATGGAGTTGGAAGGGGATCCTAAAGGTCATCTCGACTGACCTCATTTTCCAACAAATAAATAACAACAATAATAGTTGGAAGGTGACCCTAAAGGTCATCTAGCCTGATCCTATTCTCCTATAAAGAACTATAATAATCATAATCATAATAAAGGAGTTGGAATGGGATCCTAAAGGTCATCTAGACTGACCTGATTTTCCTACGAATAAATAACAATAGTTGGAAGGTGACCCTAAAGGTCATCTAGCCTGACCCCACCATTTCCCTATAAAATAACAACAACAACAACAACAAGAATAATAGAGGATTTGGAAAATGATCCTATGTGCTTTTCCTGCCTGGTAGAGAGGGGGTGGACTGGATGGCCCTCTTTGGGGTCCCTTCCACCTGTGGGATTCTATAATAACATCACTACTAAGAATACTAATTCACAACAACTGATTATGCTAATGATGGCATCTCCTTCCCTGGAGGTTTCCGAGCAAAGGCTGGATGGCTATCTGTTGGGAGGGCTTGGGTTGTGCTTTCCCTGCCCGGCAGGAGGGGGCTGGGCTGGACTGGATGGTCTTCTTTGGGGTCTCTCCCAACTCTAGGGTTCTGCTCAGAAGTGATGAGGGAAAGTCTGGAGAGGAACCCTATGGAGGGCTTCCTTCCGAAGGTGTCTCCTGGCACCGGCCTCCCTACCGACTTCCTCCGCGATGATGACGCTGGCCAGCTTCATGGCCTGGGAGGTGCGAGGGGTGAGCAGGGCCCTCTGCGAGCACAGCGTGCCGTTCCCGTACAGGGGCTCAATGGAGACCGCCTCGTGGCGAGTGGAGTACCTGCAACGACAAAGCAGACCGGGACGTGCGCTCGCCTCCTGCGGTGCTTTCCTCCTGTATCCTACTTTATTTACCAATAAAGTATGATAGTAGTCATAATACATGAATGATTTATATATATAACAATGTATATTATATAATATAGTATAATATATACATGTGAGTATATATATATATATATACACTCCAATGTGTGTGTGTGTGTGTGTGTGTATCTATATATATATAAAGGTAAATGTTGTCCTTCAGGATTCAAAAACGGAAAAAATACAGGACCAAAAGTCACAAAATATATGTGAGTATATATATATATATATATACACACACACACACACACACACACACACACTCTCCAATGTGTGTGTGTGTGTATATATATATGAATGATTATATATATAACAATATATATTATATATTATAATATATATATATGTGATTATATATATATACACACACACTCCAATGTGTGCGTGTGTATATATATATGAATATGAATGATTATATATATAACAATATATATTATATAATATATATGTGTGTGATTTTTATATATATATATACACACACTCCAATGTGTGTGTGTCTGTATATATATATGAATATGAATAATTATATATATAACAATATATTATATAATATGTTATATGTGATTATATATGTATGTGTGAATGTGTGTGCATATATATATATGTATCACATATAGGGTGTGTGTGCATGTGTGTGTGTATGTATATATATATATAATAGTAAAAATATATATCTGTAGAATGATCTCCAAAGTAGGAGAAAGAACTCTTGCCTGTTGGTGGCAAGTGTGAATGTTGCCATTGGACACCTTGATTAGCACTGAATGGCCTTGCAGCTTCAAAGCCTGGCTGCTTCCTGCTTGGGGGAAAACTAGGCAAGTGAGGCTTAAATCTATGTGGAATGAAGTCCAGGGTGGGTGAAAGAACTCTTGCCTGTTTGGAGGCAAGTGTGAATGCTGCCACTGAATGGCCTTGCAGCTTCAAAGCCTGGCTGCTTCCTGCCTGGGGGAATCCTTTGTTGGGAGGTCTTAGCTGGCCCTGATCGTTTCCTGTCTAGTATTCCCTTGTTTTCTGAATGTGGCTCTTTATTTACTGTCCTGATATTCGTAAAATATATATAGTAAAGGTAAATATATCTGTGGAATGATGTCCAGGGTGGGAGGAAGAACTCTTGTCTGTTGGTGACAAGTGTGACTATTGCCATTTCCCACCTTGATGAGCACTGAATGGCACTGAAGCTTCAAAGCCTGGCTGCTTCCTGCCTGGGGGAAAACTAGGCAAGTGAGGCTTAAATCTATGTGGGATGATATCCAGGGTGGGAGAAAGAACTCTTGTCTGTTGGTGGCAAGTGTGACTATTGCCATTTCCCACCTTGATGAGCACTGAATGGCCTTGAAGCTTCAAAGCTTGGCTGTTTCCTGCCTGGGGAAAAACCAGGCAAGTGAGATTTATATCTATGTGGAATGATATGCAGGGTGGGAGAAAGAACTCTTGTGTGTTGGAGGCAAGTGTGAATGTTGCCATTGGCCAGCTTGATTAGCACTGAATGGCCTTGCAGCTGAAAAACCTGGCTGCTTCCTGCCTGGGGGGAAAACTAGGCAACTGAGGCTTTTAACTATGTGGAATGATTTCTAGGGAGTGTTGGAGGCAAGTGTGAATATTGCCATTGGCCTCCTTGATGAGCACTGAATGGCCTTGCAGCTTCAAAGTCTGGCTGCTTCCTGCCTGGGGGGGGAAACTAGGCAAGTGAGGCTTAAATCTATGTGGAATGATGTCCAGGGTGTGTGTTGGAGGCAAGTGTGAATGTTGCCATTGAATGGCCTTGCAGCTTCAAAGCCTGGCTGCTTCCTGCCTGGGGGAATCCTTTGTTAGGAGGTCTGAGCTGGCCCTGATTGTTTCCTGTCTAGTATTCCCTTGGTTTTTTGAGTGTTGCTTTTTATTTACTGTCCTGAATTTAGTAATTATATAGTAAAAGTAAACTTATCTGTGGAATAATACCCAGGGTGGGAGAAATAACTCTTATCTGTTTGAAGGCAAGTGTGAATGTTGCCATTGAATGGCCTTGCAGCTTCAAAGCCTGGCTGCTTCCTGCCTTGCGGAATCCTTTTTTAGGAGATCTTAACTGGTCCTGATTGTTTCCTATTAAGATTTTCGTTTTCTGAGTGTTACTCTTTATTTACTGTCCTGATTTTACATATATATATAGTAAAAGTAAAGCTATCTGTGGAATAATATCCAGGGTGGGAGAAAGAACTCTTGCCTGTTTGAAGGCAAGTGTGAATGTTGCCATTGGACACCTTGATGAGCACTGAATGGCCTTGCAGCTTCAGGGCCTGGCTGCTTCCTGCCTGGGGGAAAACTAGGCAAGTGAGGCTTAAATCTATGTGGAATGATGTCTAGGGTGTGTTTTGGAGGCAAGTGTGAATGCTGCCATTGAATGGCCTTGCAGCTTCAAAGCCTGGCTGCTTCCTGCCTGGGTGAATCCTTTGTTGGGAGGTCTTAGCTGGCCCTGATTGTTTCCTGTCTAGTATTTCCTTGGTTTTTTGAGTGTTGCTCTTTATTATCCTGATTTTAGTATATATCCGAGGGACAATATCAAAGGTGGGAGAAAGAACTCTTGTCTGACTATTGCGATTGGCCACCTTGATGAGCACTGAATGGCCTTGCAGCTTCAAAGCCTGGCTGCTTCCTGCCTGGGGGGGGGGGGAAACTAGGCAAGTGAGGCTTAAATCTATGTGGGATGATGTCCAGGGTGTGTGTTGGAGGCAAGTGTGAATGTTGCCATTGGATGGCCTTGCAGCTTCAAAGCCTGTCTGCTTCCTGCCTGGGGGAATCCTTTGTTGGGAGGTCTTGGCTGGTCCTGATTGTTTCCTATTAAGAATTCCTGTTTTGTGTGTTGCTCTTTATTATCCTGATTTTAGTATATATCTGAGGAATAATATCCTAGGTGGGAGAAAGAACTCTTGTCTGTTTGAAGGCAAGTGTGAATATTGCCATTGGGCACCTTGATGAGCACTGAATGGCCTTGCAGCTTCAAAGCCTGGCTGCTTCCTGCCTGGGGGAACCCTTTGTTGGGAGGTCTTAGCTGGCCCTGATTGTTTCCTGTGTAGTATTCCCTTGTTTTCTGAGTGTTGCTCTTTATTTGCAGCAATAGAGCTGCTCCTCCTCCTCCTCCTCCTGTGTTCTATTGTCCTCTTCGTGCTGGCGTCTCAATGGGGGAACGAGGCCAGGAGCATGTGCCAAGGCAGGCCTGCTTCCCCATGGGAGGCGCCTTCTGTCAATCTTCTCCTGCCAAGCCCCGCCCCCTCTCCTGGCCCCTCCCCTTCCCTCACCAGGCGTAGCAGCCTCCCTCGGCGCCCAGGACGAAGGGGACGCGCTTCTCGCGGCTGAAAGGCAGCAGCACTTTCGGGGCGTTGAGCTTGTAGGCCTCTCCCGCTTGGAGGAGCCCCCAGGCCAGGAGGACAAGGCCTCGGCCCGCCATCCTCGACGCAACGCACAAAATGGCGACCGGCCTCTCAGCGAGGCGGCCGTCGTTCTCCCTTCTGCGCATGCGCCAGCCGCTCGGGGGCGCTGATTGGTCCGTCTTCCCGCTCTTTGTGGAGTCCTTCTGCGCATGTGCGGCCTTGGCAGGCTCCGATCCGTGTGCGCATGCTCAGTGGGCCATTTATTCCCACCACTCTGAATAGGAATCTTCGGAGTTCTGTGCAGAGGGTGCGCGTGCGCATGCTCAGTAGGGCATGAGACAAACGGGGGGCTCTGATTGGTCCGTCTTCCCGCCCTTTTTGGAGTCCTTCTGCGCATGTGCAGCCTGGGCAGGCTCCGATCCGTGTGCGCATGCTCAGTGGGCCATTTATTCCCACCACTCTGCACCTGTGCAGAGGGTGCGTGTGCGCATGCTCAGCAGGGCATGAGACAAACGGGGGGCTCTGATTGGTCCGTCTTCCCGCCCTTTTTGGAGACCTTCTGCGCATGTGCGGCCTTGGCAGGCTCCGATCCGTGTGCGCATGCTCAGTGGGCTATTTATTCCCACCGCTGTGAATAGGAATCTTCTGAGTTCTGTGCAGAGGGTGCGTGTGCGCATGCTCAGTAGGGCATGAGAGAAACGGGAGCTCTGATTGGTCCGCCTTCCCGCCCTTTGTGGAGTCCTTCTGCGCATGTGCGGCCGTGGCAGGCTCCGATCCGTGTGCGCATGCTCAGTAGGCTATTTATTCCCACCACTCTGAATAGGAATCTTTCCTCTTGAGTTCTGTGCAGAGGATCCGTGTGCGCATGCTCAGTAGGGCATGAGACAAGCAGGCTGCATCTCATATGAATGGAGTTGATTTCAATGGGATTCTCCATGGCATTGAGTCTGGGATTAGAAGGCATTCATATTATATATAATTTCATATTATATATATTCATATTATATATATATATACACACTTTGTGTGTGTGTGTGTGTATATATATATATATATATATATATATATGTAATACGAATATATATATGAATATATATTAATATTATATATGTATATAATATATTTAATATATAATATATATATTATATTCATATTATATATATGAAAAATACTATATATTATTTATTTAAGAAATAGGTTCCATCCCATATAAGATTAGAAGGCATTCATATTATATATATTATTATATTTAATATGTTATATATTCATATTATATATATTATAGATATATATTCATTATATATATATATATATATATATGTATATATATATGAAAAATGCTATATATTATTTAAGAAATAGGTTCCATCCTATATAAGATTAGAATGCATTCATATTATATATGTTTTCATATTACAATATATTCTTCAATTTATTCCTCTTGGTATAAACTTTTATAAAACTTATCGAATTGTTCCTTAATGTCCTCTTCCTGTGTAGGGCTCTCTCTTTGTCTCTTAGTTTAGTTATGTAGTTTGCTTCTCTCCTTTTCCTGATCTTTTTAGCAAGCCATCTCCCTGGTTTATTTGCATTCATGAAAAAAAAAAATCTTGTTTCATATATTTTAGTTCCTTTTCTCTTCCCTCAATTTCCAAGGAGTCTCTTTGTTTGTATAGATATTCTAGAGTTCGTGTTATCTCTTTATTTTTGGGGACCGATTTCAGCTTTACTTCTTCCTTTCCTATTTCTTCCATAATTTCTTTCATCTTTTGAAATTTTAATTAATTTTTTATTAGAATTTATATAGCAATATTAAATAAGCACTCACAAGCCGGTTCTGCTTTAAAATGGATATATTGCTTGTACCTCTGCATCAAAGGAAGACACTACTGACTTTTTCCCACCGCCACTTCCTTTAGGACACCTTTCCTGCCCATCTCCCCCTCTTCTCAGCTTCCTTATGAGATCTTGTTGCTTCACAACATGGTTTCCAGCACCCTCTGCTGGGTTCCGGATATCACGGAGAGAATTTGTGATGTCTTCATGCCGTCAGATATTGTCTCCTGACAAGTTCACCAACAGTCAAAGCCCATTCTGAAGCCCACCGATGATGGAATTGGCCCGAACTTCCCACACAGATGTTGGGGTTCAGCTTCCGTGTGAATCTGACCCTCAGCCTCCATGTGAGCCTGACCCTCAGCCTCTGTGTGAACCTGATTCTTTGATTGTATTTCCTGATGCAACTGAACAGGCTACTGAACATGTATTTTTCCCTGATGGTTTGGAAACTGTTGATTCTGAGGGCAGTAGCTGGGAAAGTGAAACTACACCTCCTGATGAGAATGTTTCAGAATCAAGCGGTGATAACTCTCCAGAGTTATCTGCCTTTTTTAATGAGGATAGAAGAGGGCAGATTTGGGAAAACAGGAGTGAATCACAGAGTCTGAGAAGGTCAAGTAGATTAAAGGAAAAGGAGGCTTCCAAGTCTGGAGGCGTGTCCCGAAACAGTTTCTTTAATTTTAAATGTCTCCTCCCGGGCTGTCTCGTTAGATCATGCATCGTTTAGACTGAGGCATTACCTTGGCAGAGTTCCCGTTTCCCATGGCCTGCATTCCCAGAGGCTTCTAGTTTCCAAGTATGGTTAGTAAAATGCTAACAGGTTCCAGGTTTTTATAGTGTTGCTTTTGGAATTTTTGTCTAGTTCAGAGATATTCCTGACTGCTGAGTTTTACTGTGGCGTTTTGACTTTGCATTTTCCTCTATTTTGTAACCATTTTTCATCAATAAAAAAGGATTGTTTTTTCCCACAGTCAAGTGTGGTGGATTTAATCTTATGGTCTCGTTTCCTGATCTGGGTTGCAACAACAGAACCCCATGCTTTGAAGGGACTCGCTGGACAGAGCCTCCCTCCAGCCTTGCACGCTCTCCCAGTTTAAAAATGCTCCCTTCTTCTGGCAAGAAGAAATGAAAACCTGACGCCATGGACAATCGAGGGAATGCTTCCGTTTATTATTTCCAAAACAACCAAAAAAAGACAATAAAAGACAAAAAGTTCTTTTCGTTTGTTTGTTTTAGTATCAAAACACTTGATATGGTTTTTCCTGGTTTCTCCACAGCCCGCTCTGCCTCCTCCTCCTCCTCCAGGCCCCAAAGGGACAGAAAGGCAAGCCAGGCCTCGGGCATCCCGCTCGCCGGGATTCCCTTTTTGTATCAAGACGCTAAGACCGGGCAGCCGAGAGCGAGGAGGCGGGTCGGGGAAGAAGCCCGGCCCCTTCCGCCCCGAAAAAGGACGCTCCGCGGAGGCCGAGGGCGGAAGAGCTCCCCCCGTTTCCCGGCCGACAGACAGACAGGCTGCGGAAGAAGGAAAGAACGCCCGGAAAGGGACAAAGCAAGAGGTGCGCGAGGAACAACCACGGTTAAGAAGCGTGCCGAGAGCGAGAGAGAAATATGATCACTTTAAAAACCTGATAGACAATTTGACACAGATGCGTTTTCCCTGCCCACCCCATCCCATCATAGAAACAGCGTTAAAAACCACAAAAATATGTGTCTGTGTGTGTGTGCTTGCGGTGCACCTTTCCCAACCCCTCTTGTTTGTCTTTTGGCAAAGAAAGGAACCAAAACCACGTCCTCGGACCCAAAGGAGGTCAAGGAGGGCTTGGTTTTTGTGCTGGGTTCTCCCTGGGAGGATCAGGAAGGAAGGAAGGAGAGAAAAGAGAAAGAAAGAAAGAAAGAAGAGAAGGAAGGAGAAAAATAGGAAGGGGAGAGAAAAAGAAGGAAGAGAAAGAAAGAAGGAGAGAAAGAAAGAACGAAAGAAAGGAAGGAAAAAGAGAAGGAAGGAAGGAGGGAGAGAAAGAGAGAAGGAAGGAAAGAAAGAGAAAGAAGGAAGGAAGGAGAGAAAGAAAGGAAGAGAAGGAGGAAGGAAGGAGGGAAAGCAAGAAAGAGAGAGAAGGAAAGAAAGAAAGAGAGAAGGAAGGAGAGAAAGAGAAGGAAGGAAGGAAGGAAGGAAGGAAGGAAGGAAGGAAGGAAGGAGAGAAAGAAAGAAAGAGAAGAAGGAGGAAGGAAGGAAGGAGGGAAAGCAAGAAAGAGAGAGAAGGAAGGAAAGAAAGAAAAAGAAAGAACGAAAGAGGGAAGGAAGAAGAGAAGGAAAGAAGGAAGGAAGGAAGGAAGGAAGGAAGGAAGGAAGGAAGGAAGGAAGGGTGGCTTCCACCAGGCAGGGCACTGAGGGCCAAAGCCACAACTTGGAATGGACCTGGCCAGCCATACAACTCAATGTGCGAAAGGGGAGCTGGGAAACACCGGGAAACCTTCAAAGCCAACCGCTTGCAAGCTCCGGCATGACAAAAAATAGCGTACGGCCATTTCCAGGAAAGGGAAAGGGGGAAAGGAGGAAAGAAAGGAGACCCATGACTATCAAGGAGCATCCCTCTGGGACACCCTCTACTCCCCGCACTGTGACCGCCTGGTGTTTGGGTCCCGCAGCCAAAGCGTGGCCTGGGAATCGGAATTGGCAGAGACTTCGGGGTCAAGTTGGCAACGGACACTGGAATGTTTACACCTCGGAGCCTTCTCCCTGCTTTTGCAAGGGTGACAGGCCGCTTATTATTATGTATTTTTTTAGTTTTACTTTCCTTTTCTCCTCTCTCTCTATATATTTTTAAGACAGAGCTGGCCTCCCGGCAGAAAGAAGGCCGCTGCCCGGGAGGCTAGAAAGGCAATGGAGGGCGACAAGGGGAGGGGAGGGCGGCGTGCGCTCGGCCCCTTTACATGTCGTTCAGGTCCAGCAGGGTCTGGTCCAACATCCGCTGCGTGCAGAGATGCTCCTCTTTGGTGCACTTCAGTTTATCTGCAAGGGAAAAGCGAGGAGGTTAGAGGCCAGGGTGCAAGTCGAGGGGTGCCCGCCTTCCCTCCCTCCCTCCCTCCAGCCCCAAAGCGGCACACAATCCAACAATGCGGTGCCCCCTCCTCGGCCGTGCAGCTGCCCCAAGGCTTGCTTCCCCTCCCAACCACAAAACAGAGCATTCCCATCGCTCTCCACCATACAACCTGGCCGTGAAAAGCCAAAGCTGTGTCCGCTTCGTGCTAGAGCAGGCGTGGGCAAACTTGGGCCCCCCAGGTGTTTTGGACTTCAACTCCCACAATTCGTAAAAGTCTCAGGCTCCTTCCTTTTCCCACTCAGCCACTAAAGCTAGGTCAGTGATAGACCTAAGAGAGGCCTACCTCCAGGTCCCAATAGATAGAAAAATGCTAGAGTGATAGACCTAAGAGAGGCCTACCTTCAGGTCGCGATGCTAGAGTGATGGACCTAAGGGAGGCCTACCTTCAGATCTCTATAGATAGATAGATGCTAGAGTGATGGATCTAAGAGAGGCCTACCTTCAGATCTCTATAGATAGATAGATGCTAGAGTGATGGACCTAAGGGAGGCCTACCTTCAGATCTCTATAGATAGATAGATGCTAGAGTGATGGACCTAAGAGAGGCCTACCTTCAGGTCCAAATAGATAGAAAAATGCTAGACCTAAGAGAGGCCCACCTTCAGGTCCATATAGATAGATGCTAYAGTGATAGACCTAAGAGAGGCCTACCTTCATGTCGCGATGCTAGAGTGATGGACCTAAGGGAGGCCTACCTTTAGGTCCTGATAGATAGATGCTAAAGTGATGGACCTAAGAGAGGCCTACCTTCAGGTCCCGATAGATGTTAAAGTGATGGACCTAAGAGAGGCCTACCTTCAGATCCCGATAGATGGTAAAGTGATGGACCTAAGAGAGGCCTACCTTCAGGTCTCTATAGATAGATGTTAAAGTGATGGACCTAAGAGAGGCCTACTTTCAGATCCCGATAGATAGATGCTACAGTGATAGACCTAAGAGAGGCCTACCTTCAGGTCCCAATAGATATATAGACGCTTGAGTGATGGATCTAAGAGAGGTCTACCTTCAGGTCCCAATAGATCAATATGACATCTTAAGCATCTACACTAGGCATGGGCCAATGGCTGTTAGGGACTGTGGGAATTGAAGTCCAAAACAGCTGGAGGGAGGGCTGAAGTTTGCCCAGCCCTGGACTAAATGGTCCATGCGATCTCTTCCAATCCTATTAGTCTATTATCTGTTGATGGGCTTTGGTTGTGCTTTTCCTGCACAAAGGCAGTAGGAAGTGGACCCTTGATGGTTGTCTCTGGGGTCTCTTCCAACTCTAGGATCCCATGAGACTGTGCCTGGCGGTTGACGCACAGCCAACTGGTTCCATGTGCTTTCTCGCGTGTACATTCCAAATCCCCCCAAGCAAATTATCTTCTGCCCCCTGATTGCATCAGCGGAGGCTCTCCATGCAGTGGCAGGCCAAGGACCGTGGTATGAATGGCCAGAGAAGGGGGGAAACCACGTCCCAAGCCAAGCCTGGTGAGTCCCAGACTGGGAAAATGCAGGGATGCTGTGTGCTTTCAAAGGAACAGACCATGCTTCCTGCACAGGCGAGCTTCCAAAAGGCGATACATACCTACCCAAGTCTTTGCCTTTGCTGCCCGGAGAGCAGGATTGTTTTGCAACGCAAAGAAGGGCGCAAGTGGGAGAAAGACACCCCAGGCACGTTTGGGAAAAGGCCAGCGGTTTTATTGAGACAAGACACATGAATATAGATATATATGTATGTATGTATATCAGCTATGTATACATCTTTACAAAATAACAAACCAGCCCAATCCATGCAAAAGGAAGCTTATTTGGGGGAAGAAGAGGCCAGCAACTGAGTCTAAGGAAAGAAGGGATGGTGAAAGGGAGTCGATACAAGCGGCCAAAGGGGAGACGAAAGCCAGCCTCCCCACCGAGAAGGAAAAGAGCCATTGCCATTCCGGCCTTCTATCTACACTGTAGATAGAGTCTATCAAGCTACGCCAAAGTCTTATGATACAAGCGCTAGAGATCTATCTACAGCACCAAAAAAAACAGGTGAAGGAGGCGTTGGGGAGTTGGTTTGGAAAAGCACGGAAAATCAAACGAGAGAGGATCGGCACCCCGTTCTAATATGTGCTCCGCTTTTCCGTCTGCACCGGAGCCGGTTCAGAACAAGCCGGGCTTTGTTTTGGAAAGAAATGGAAACCAGAGCAGTTCTCAATCACACAGATCATGCAGGGTTAGCTTCAGCTCGTTCGCCAGCAGACGGTTTTTCTCAAGCTGGCTGTATAGACGCTCTGCAGCACCGCCGGCGGCAAGAGAAACAGAGGAAGGAGGAAGAGGACATTAGGGAGGGAAGAGAAAGAGAAGAGAGAGAAGAGAAGGGGGAGAAAAGAAAACAAAAGGGAAGGTTAGTGAAGTTCCAGAGATGGGGACGCCTCCCGCTTCTGTCGATGGACGCCAACCCAGCGAAGAGGCAAAGGGGGCCTTGCTTTTGAAGCCAGGAAAGGGGAGCAGGGGAAGAGACATGGCAGAGAAGCAAAAGGAGCCTGCAGAGAAGCCGCTCGGGAGGTCAGAGTTGTATGTCAGCCTGTGATGGTGGGCCTGGGTCTGTTGGCATTGGAGGTGAGGGTTTGTTTGGGTCTGAGTTAAGCTCAGATGCTGTCTTAAGGAAGATTCCCAAGGCCACATTCCTGGGAGAGGCTCTTTGCAGCTTTTCTCAGAGCAACGGCCTGAAAATGATTTGTCAGGTGCAGAAGTTAGTGAGTTAATGAAAGCGAGATCAGAAAGCAAAGTTTAGTAAACAGAGACAAAGTTTTCAGAGACTAAGATGATTAGTTCCTCTACAGCAAAAGAGAGATAACAAACCGTGATCTGGTGGGAAGGTCAAGAGACTTGCACTCCTTTCCTTTCCGTTTTGGGATCTGACAAAGCTTTATAACAATTCATGGGAGAGAGTTGCCTCAGTCGGGTCAACGTTGTTATTTCATCACAATCTTGCTTTCCAATGCTCTTAGTTTCATGTACCAAGTTTTTTTCCAAGCTTAAGATTTGTATATGTGGTTTTCCTGCTGCCTTGTTTTTTTTAATGTTCTCATTGATCTTGTTTTCCTTTGAAGCTCATGGACTGTTTTATATATTGGACCTTTACTGTTTTTGCTATTTTTTATTGCTTTGCCTACATATATTCTTCAATAAACTGTTGGCGGATCCAACCCAGGCTGTCTTCAAACTCATGATTTAATGCAGCTGGCTACTAACTAGCTGCGTCAATACTAGATGTAAGTTGTATGTTGTATCTACACTGTCTGTTTTTGATAAGGCCAACTAGCTAATCAATAAAAGTTGTTGAGTAGCTGCACCATGCAGTGTTCCCTCACTTATCGCAGGTGTTACAGTCCAGGACCACCCACGAAAAGTGAAAATCCATGAAGTAGGGACACTATATATGTATATCGCATTCCGAGGGTGAGGCACAAACAAGGAGAGATTTAAAGGCATAGCACACTTTTTTTTGCTAGCTATCTCTGCTTTGTTTTGCAATCTCTCTTGGTTGGCTGCCTGTCTCTCGAGGGGGAGGGTGAAACCCCCTTCCATACTCCATCGTTGCAAGTAGGTGGGATTACAATGCTGCTCTGGGCAACGGCAACCATTCATAAACTGGAAGGCAAAAACCCGCAAAACAGCGAGTCCGCGAAAAGCAAAGTAGTGGGGGAAATACTGTATTCTACAATAAACTGCTTGCTGATTTTATGAGGTGCATGTGGCATTTCAAGTCAGAGGTGTATCTTCCTCTGGAGTACGACACACTTCCTGTGCTCTCAGCCTTGTTCCTAACTAGGAGTCGTTTGTAAATCAGATGTTTGTAACGTCGAGACGACCTATACAGTGTTCCCTCGCTACTTCAATGTTCACTTTTAGCGGACTCGCTGTTTCACGGTTTTCAAGAAATATTAATTTAAAATGTATATTGTAATATTTTCGCTGTTTCGCAGAGTTTTGCGGTTCTCCGAGGCGTTTTCCCTCCTCAGTCCTCTTTCCCTCCAACCTTGAAGCGCCTTTCCTTCCTTTCCTTCACTTTATTTTAAGTTTATAAAGACTTAAAATAGTGTAGAACTGCTAAAATAATGTATAAATATTAAAATAAATATAATAATAATATAATAATAATAAACTTTATTTGTACCCCGCCGCCATCTCCCCTAACAGGGACTCGGGGCAGCTCACATGAGGCCGAGCCCAAACAACAAATTGCATCTCTACATGGCGGTTTTTCACTTATTGCGGGAGGTCCTGGGACATAACCCCCGCAATAAGTGAGGGAACACTGTACATCGAAATACTCTAGGCTGAGAGGAGATATGATAGCCATGTATAAATATGTGAGAGGAAGCCACAGGGAGGAGGAGGGAGCAAGCTTCCTTTCGGCTTCCCTGGAGACGAGGACGCAATGGAACAATGGCTTCAAACTACAAGAGAGGAGATTCCATCTGAACATGAGGAAGAACTTCCTGGCTGTGAGAGCCGTTCAGCAGTGGAACTCTCTGCCCCGGAGTGTGGTGGAGGCTCCTTCTTTGGAAGCTTTTAAGCAGAGGCTGGATGGCCATCTGTCAGGGGTGATTTGAATGCAATATTCCTGCTTCTTGGCAGATTGGGGTTGGACTGGATGGCCCATGAGGTCTCTTCCAACTCTTTGATTCTATGATTCTAAAAGGACTGGATCTGACCTGATTTCAGATGCTAAGCAGGGCCAGGTCTGGTTAGGACTCTGATAGGAGACCTTCAGGGAACCCAAGTACTGTGTGTTTCAAAGGATTGTGCAAAGCGCTTGAGGATCTCTGTGTTGGAGCTCAGCCTTTGAGTGTGTTTCAGGATCTGGGTCCTTTGGATGTGGGGAGCGATGTCAATGAATTTCAAGGTGGCAATGGTTTGGTCAATGATACTGATG